TATGAAATTAACAACCGATCTTGGGTGGAATTCCCAGCGGATTTCATGAAACCCATTGATGAAAGAAGTGGTGTTTTTTTTTTGTCAACATGGTTAATTTATGAAACTGTTTTCTTATAAAGATAATCGGTGTAATATAATATACAAAATAATGGCTTTTTTCTATATAAACGATTTTATGATAGTTTTTTTCTCACTATTCAAGTCGATAATGGCATGGCATAAAAACTAGTTAACTTACGTCATTTCATCATAATTCCAATGGATATGTAACTAATTGCTAAAATAGATATATTTTCTAAAATACAATGTTGTAAAAAGTGAATATTCTAAAACCACAATGTTCTAGTAAAAAAAAATTAAAAATATAAACCTTCATTGAAATAACTATATAGTTTTACATAAATTTCGGTACAAATAGAAATTTCAGATTCCTTTTGGAATAGTAAGACTAAGACTAGAGTCGGTCCATGCCGATTTAAATCCCGTGACAAAATAAAAAATGAGGCCTTTAGAAAAATATGGTCAAAATTAATGTATGAAACAATAACATGAATGAAGCAAATATAAAACTTGCTATAGAAAAGAAAAAAAAATTTAAGCTTCAATTAATAAATAGTGTAAACGTTAGTATGTGTTGAGCTTTAAATGGTCAACATTGCAAAGTCATATATAAAAGGTATTTGCATACATATTGTCTCTATAGCTAAAATTCCAGGATCTTCAAGGCTTGTTGATTTTTTGTACAACTGAAAATCACAACAATGTAATAGGAAAGCACATTGATTGATCCCCTCCAAGCAAACGTGACATGGTTTTTTTGTACATCAAAATGAGTATAATTGCCAAAATACACAGAAAAAAGACAAAGAGCTTAGGTCTATAGAAGGCTAAAAACATGAATTGTGGTACAAATGCATATATCAATCGATGTTTTTCAGCATAAAGCAAACCCACATCATCAGTAGATTAATTCAAAAGATTTAACAAATTACACATTAGTTTAAATCGAATAGGTTCTTGAAAGTACTCTCACATCTAACACAAACCAATAATCAAACACATGACATGCATATACAGATTCATCAACAAATTGTATTATCAAACATTTAAAAATTGATATTCAATATGCAAAATAGCTTCTTTCGTATAGTTGGAAAACACAATTGCATAAAGACAACACAATACTAAAAACATACAATCGAAAGTATAAAAACTTCATTACACAGATGATGGAATATATATATATATATATATATATATATATATATATATATATATATATATATCATAAAATGATACATACATGTTTTAATACTCAAAAGAAACAACAAGAGACATACAACATACCTAAACAAATGAGGTCATTGATTCCATTGTGAGTTTGTGACCGTTACTTCTTTGTATTTCAGCCGATTCGTTATCAGTTCAAACCAATTTTCGTCAATAATGTATCAGTTTTAGTCACTTCAATACATTTGTGACATTGATGGAAACTTTCTATAAACAATCAACATTAGTTTAGAGCCCCAAAACCAGTTAGTCCCTAGACTGTCGCCCATGTTACCCCTAGACCTGACAAATATGTTGTGTTGTGTCTGGTTCATGTCATGTCGAAGAATTAAACATGTTGAAAATGTTTGACCCTGACCTAATTAGTGTGTCATGGCGTTTCAATCCGTTTATTTTTGTGTCGGGTTTCGAGTTAGAGCTATACATTAAAATGTGTTGGATCATGTGAAGTTGAAACACTAAACATGTTGAAAGAGTAGGAATTGGGTAGGCAAAAAAAAGTAATAGTTAGGAAGTGGAATGACTAAATTCATAGTACGTTTAGAGGAAAAAAATGGAAAGAGTATGAATCAGGGAGGCGGAGGGCGGGATCATGAGGAGTAGGAAGTGGTTAAGATGACTGTGTAGTTTGGGAGAAAACGTCAAAACTGAAAATGAAGTCTTTAACTAGACGACTAAGTCATTTCCACATTACAAAGTAACCAAAAAAATTCTTTTACTTATGGTTTTGGTTTTGGATCTCTAATTTATTTAAAGAACTCAATAAACATGCATATAAATAAACGGCTTACCCGTTTAATTTCTTTGTCATGTTGCGTAAACCTCTATAATTAAACGGGTTGAAATATCTTATCTAAATCCGTTAATTTCGTGTTGAGTTTGTAACTGATTAGCATGTTGTGTCAGTTCTTGTCACTTCTATCTCATTATATTAAGACGTTAAAAGATTGAAAAAGATAGTCATATATTAAGATGTTAAAAGATTGAAAAAGAAAAGTTTGGATGTGTTTATATCCACATATACTTTTAATAACATCCCTAAAAAATATTAACAAATTTTAACAAAATATATAAGGTGTTTATATCTAAAGATACTTTTAATAACATCCCTAGAATATATGAATAATATTGTTGACCGTCTAAAAGGAATTTCCATCCCATTCAAAGTTGGTTTTGAAATCAAACTTCTTATCCACCTCTAAATACAAAACACTTTCTTATACCAATTTGAGGAAACAAACATAGTATGAAAATATCTCTACCCATTATTGATTAAATATTTTTTTTATATTGAATTCTAACATCAAAAATAATATTTTAAATATATTTTTTCCTTAATTTATATAGATTTCAATAACACCCTTATAATAGCCCTTATATTATTAGATTTGTACAAATTAAATTCATATTTGAATACAATAATAACTCTATAAGTTATATACTTATATTATTAGACAACTATAACCAAAATAATCTTTTTAGATATAATTAGCTTCGAATTATTAACATATTATTATAATAGAATTTTTATTAAATAATATATATATATATATATATATATATATATATATATATATATATATATATATATATATATATATATATATATATATATATATATATGATCCATTGATAATTCAAAGATTCGTGAAAACTAAAGAATTTTTTTCAAATTCATATTCCTCATTTTTTTAACAAAGTTTTTCTTTTGCCAATCATTAAGACGCTCATTAAGAGCTTAATTCGCTATTTTTTTTTTTAAAAACATCTTTTTTTAAAATGTACATATATGCAAAAATTTTATGTACACATATGCACATCAACATTTGTATATATATATATGATAAATGAGTTTTTATGTAGGATTGGAGATGTCGTGTAACCTAGATGGGTTTTCATCAATTTCTAGTTTTCTACTATATTTTATATTTGCTTTTTGAAAGAAAAAGAACTTGTCCAATTAGTAAAAATGATTAAAATATTTTATAGAATTCAAAAAATTAAGCAAATCAATTATGCATAAAGACTATGTTTGACGGAATATCTGAAATACTAAACTAGTTGATGAATAAAAAACTTGATGCTAAATGATAAACTAGTTAATAAAAATGTCGTTTGAAAAACTAACTACAAGTCGGATGAAATATATAAAATGACACATACAAAATTGAGTTTTTTTTATAATTAATAAAAAAATATATTTGAAAGTTTTAAAAAAATGTATAATAATCTTGTTCAAACGCTAGTTTGAATAGCTGTTATAAAAGCTACCTTATAAACTACTTTTTTGTTTGCCAATAACCTAAAAATGTTTGAAAATAAATTAGTTTATAAACTAGTTGTAACATGTCCAACATAGCCAAAATAATTATATACTAGTTTATAACCCGTGGGAACCACGGTTACAAAATTAATTAAACTTTAATAATAAAAACTCAAAATTATTAATCAAGTATTTTAAATAAATTATTAATTAAGAGATTTTTTTAGTTATATAAATTTTAATAATTGATTTAAATAAATATGTGAAATTATATCACTTTATAATTTGTATTAATTTTATTTTAAGTTTTATTCTAATGTTATTAATTTAATGTAATTAGAGTGAGAAATTTAAAATTTAAAATTAAAATTTAAAATGGAGAATCAATAGGTTTGACAAGTGGCAAACATTAATTAGAAAAATCATATGGTGACACATGATAAAAAGAGAATAAAATATACATTAATTAGGAGGCCTAATAGGATGATACATGTCAAAAGAAGACTAAAACTATTCTTTTATTAGAATAGAGATTTTGAGTATTAACAAAAAGTAAGAAGATCTAGAATTCAAGATTTCATTATATGGCGTCTTTTGTTGCCAAAATTAATATAGAGGATTAATTTCGTTAGATGTCTTTAAATTTCATTTTTTATGGATTTCACCATTCCTATTAAGGGTGGAATCGATTCAATCTGTTCATTAAATAACATTGTTTCTAAATATTGAAAAGTTGAATATCATAGTAACAATATAAAAGTAGTATTTAAATTTAAATAAAATTTAAAAGTTATTTAATTTTTATAATCAAATTACATTCTGTTTCCTACCATTCTTGGGCATGCCAGAGTATTATTCTTTTTTAGATTTCAATTTCTTTCACAGAATTTATTTTGTTTGGTTATATGGAATGGAAAATACTAGATACGTGAGCAAGGTAATTTGGTGAATGATTGATTTGCAGAAATGGAATGATTTTATATCATAAACAAATTATGTATAGTTGTAATTCAAATATTTACATTATTTAATTATAACTACTAAATTTCTTTACAAACATTAACAAAATAAGAGTAAAAGTAAAAAAAGACAAATGTCAAAATCAAATATCCTCCTATTTGTTCTTCCTACTCATCTTGGTACCATTTAGATCAAGACAAATGTTAAAATCAAGAGAAGAGATTAAAAGAGAGAATTTGTAGATTCCACATCTCAATATTTGATATGAGTAGGAAGATAAGTAGAAAGAAATGATAGGAGGATATTTAATTTTTCAAGTAAAAATTATACATTTTAGTTATTTAAGAAAATAGAATTTAGATTTTTTAAGAGATTTAAGCCATCAAAAATTACCTATATAAAAATAAACTGTATTTGCAATTTTTAATTACATTCCATGATGAAAAACAAAATTATGAAATTAACATTCGTTAAATAATGGTCCATTCCATTCTATCAACAAAACAATTTTTCTTTTTTCATTCCAATGGAATCAACCATTCCATTCCGTATCCAATTCCATCATACCACACACTACCTAACACTTCTCAAATTCATCAACAAACTTTCATTATAATTATTTTTATCAAAATCAAGAAACCACATTACCTATTTTAGTTGGAATCAGAACACTCTTCAAACAAACCTTCGGGTGGATCATAAATAATCATACCCGGAAAAAGTTCCAAAAAATCATCCTTCACCTTTTCTCTCAATTCCGGATACGGTAAAAGCCCTTTCAAGATCACGCGATAAGGCAATGACAATGGAGGGTCCGGAGCTTTTCTCATTTCCTCATATATAAACATTGCCTCTAATGGCAATCTACTATCTAAAAAAGCCCTAATAATATCCCCAAATGTATGTTGATCAAAGTGTACCTCTTCTTTCTTTAAATCTTCCCATACTTTTTTCACTTCTTCCACTTTTTTATTTCTTGCTAGCATCATAAGCATGTCACGATAAAAAAACATGTCGGGTCTATACCATATCTCTTTTCGCACCACTTCGTATAACTGCATAACGAAAACCATCAAAATTGAACCAAATTAGGTTTGTAAGGCTATTTTATTCTTTGCACAAAATGAGAGAACCCACCTATCAAAAGATTGCAATTTTTGTCCCATATGAGTCCCATTCCTACCTTTTTGAGTGATGCTTTTGTCCCACCCAAAAAGGTAGGATTGGAACTGATGTGAATGGGACAAAATTGCTTTTGTCCAATTCACATAAGTTCCAATCCTACATTTTTACCAATTTTGTCCCATTCACATCAGTTCCAATCCTAGGTAAGATTAGGACTAATGTTAATGGGACAAAAGCAATTTTGTCCCATTCACATCAGTTCCAATCCTACCTTTTTGGGTGGGACAAAATTGCTTTTGTCCCATTAACATTAGTCCTAATCTTACCTTTTTGGGTGGGACAAAAATACATATTTTTAATGGGACAAAATTGTTTTTTGGGTGGGACAAAAATAATGCAACTTTTTGGATGGGACAAAAATAATGCAACTTTTTGGATGGGACAAAAATATATTTTTTAATGGGAAAAAAAATTCTTTTGTCCCATTGACATCAGTCCCAATCCTATCTCTTTGGGTGGGACATATTTTTTGTCCCATTGACATCAGCCCCAGTCCTACCTTTTTGGGTGGGACAAAAAAAAATTGTCTCATTGACATCGGTCTAAGTTCACCTTTTTCGGGTAGGAATTATTTTTTGTCCCATTAACATCAATCTAATGCATGTCAAATGCATACAACTTATATGTTATGTCATGTCCTATGTAACAAAAGAAGCCCTACCAGATGTGCGAAAGGGTATTATCGGAAATACAACAATGCAATACACGAACAAAAGGAAGGTAATATAGAAAAGAGAAGGAAAACAAACCTTCATGGAGAGAAATACAAGGTCTTGTCTTTGGAATTCAAAAAGAACAGAAACAAGATCAGATTTGAGAAGGCGAGAGACATGGGACTTGATAAAGTGGTCAAGTCTGAGAGGACTTGATTGAAGTCTCTTGAGTTCTTTTGCAATGATCAAACCTTCTTTCCCCATTTCTTTCTTTCGTCTCCATATTGATAAACTAGGGCTTGATGAGGATGAAGAGGTTGAGATTGAGATTGTATTTTGGTGATTGAAATAAATGGGAGTTGATATGGTGTTGAGATTTGAGAGAAAAGTTCTTCGTAGAATGGTTCGAGTGTAACTGAGCATATTGAATCTCCAATTGTTACTTGGAATTGGATCTAAACAATTAATTAAAGAGATTGAATATAAATCAAGACGATTATATGAGAAAAAGGATTAAATTAGTTAGGGGTTAAATGCAAGAAACTGAAAGAACAATGTTGTAATAGAAAGAAATGGAAGTGGAATACTATAATACACAGTATGTTGCTGTTTTTATGCATTTAGTCATTAATATTTATTCAACTAATGACAAAAAAAAAAAAAAAAAAAGAACCAACATTACTAAACACAACAGAACTAGCTTCCTAATAATAAGGAAACGATGTAAAAGGATATATATCTCATGCCATGTATCAATTAGAATTAACACTTTGACTCAAAAGTCAACATAACTACTTGAAATTTCAACACTCATGTGAATAATATTCTTACTCAACTGTACACTATGTACTTATATATAATTAATAAGCTTGATGTTAAATACATAAAGAGAAAGTATAAAAGCTGTAAATTTGGACTTTAAAATGTGGGAAAGAAAAATCCAACAATTCATAGAGAATTGGTTCACTATCTTACTCAAAGGTCTTGTAAAAGCTAGTTATTTCTTAATTCTCTTGTACATATGACTAATCTAAGCTAGTTATTTCTTAAAAGCGTAATTGCAGTTCCTCATTCTTGCCAAAAGAAAATATGTCCATATCACTAATTATGCCATCAATATAAAGACTCTGATCCTATTTTGATTTTTGCACAAGATAATCATATTCTCTCAAAGTTATTTATGCAAAATTGAATTTAGATTTCCATGCAGATTTTATTAAAATTACACCAATTTGGAGCAATTTACATCTAGAATCTCAAAGCAGTAAAGGGTATCTTCCCCAATTTTCAAACTTTAAGCAAAAAAAACACCGATATGGAGATAGATGGAACGGTAATTGACGTAATATCCAAAGAAAATCAAGTGTATGAACTCATGAAGAAGATGCTGCATTTTTTTATAGATACAATTCCAATTGTTTTAGTTCACTGAAATACTTTGAAAAGACAACCATATGAATTATAAATTCCTAATTAGAATAGACCAAATGTAATAAAAGTGAACAACCTTCAGCAGGGCAGGAGCTGAAAAAGAGGTTTAAGGGCATCGAGGTTATGCAAATAGCAATTGAATTGAGAAAACCTAATCCCAAACACAGAATCAGAAATCCTAATCACTAATCAGAGTTATGACATACCTGTTGCTGTTGGGCGTTGGCTTGGCTGTTGAGCGGTTCGAACTCCGAACTCGGAAGTCACAAATCAGAAAGTTGTTAAAGGCTAAGGGCACCGTTGAGAGTTGACTACTTGAGAATGTCGAATTAGAGAGGAGAGGAATCACTAAAACCAAGCATCACAACCACACCGATAAAATTGATAGTTTGCGATGATTTCAGTAGATACTCTTGAGCTTCCAATTCTAGAAGATGAAGCCATTGATAACACACAAAAACCAGGCAAACTTTATTTGAAAGAGGACGCATGTAAAAAGGCTGGCTGAAGAATTAGACCATCGGGTAGCAGCACATAGGTGGCGTGTGACGATGGCTGCGACCTGGACGCATAACACCGCCCCAAGTCGCTTGGTGGTGGCGTGGGCTGTGGGTTAAAGATACGATCCAGTCCACTACTCTACCTGATCCTACCCACGATACAGACCCTAACGTGGTAGTCCAACGTCGGCCCAAACGCAAGATTAATGTGCTGTGATAATATTAATATGCATAGTCGGTCGGCTAAAAAAAAAAAAATTTAAAAACGATGGGTTGGGTTGTAACTTATTTCAAACATGTGTATCTAATAACAATTTAAAAAAATATCAAAATTTATATATTTTTTTCTCTACAAGATAAAATATAATATTGGTATACTTCAATATCTAATCTCTATTTTCTATTTCTAATCTCTTTTGCATTCGTATTTTTTTTATGATTGATAATTCGTATCCAAATGTTTATATGAATCTTGGAGACTCTCAAGCTTTCCATATTATGAAAACCCTTTGTTTTATCTAAATCCAAATCAACTTTCTATCACATAAAATCTCCAATATCACTAAATACCGAAAAAAAAACCACGAGGCAATAAATGAGATGTTGCGGAAGATATTGCTTTAATGTCAGCATGGTGTTTTGTTAGTGAGGATAAACAACATGGAAAAAACCATAAACAATCATCATTGTGTGAATAAATAAAGGGACTGTATAATGTCGCTCAGGCTGAAATTCCAAAAAATATTAATAGCGGGAATGAAGATTAGATGAGAGGTTGTTTTAAATGACTTAGCGAAAATAACCAAATGTAGGTTGGTGTATATCAGGAAGCATGGTGCCGAAAAAAAAATGCAATGTCAACAAGATATTGAAAATGAAGCTTATAAACTTTATGATGCAAGTAGCAGTAAGTTTAACGATATTATTGTTTTTAATGAAGTTATGTGTAAACACGAGAAATGAGCTTTAGAGTTATAGCGTGACACAACACGTTCTCATCCTAAATGTGAAGTGGATAACAAATAAAGTGATGGTAGCACGAAAAGACCAAGGACTATTAAAGAAGGGGATTATTCCAACCCAGACACACCAAGTGGTGGTGGTTCAACAATTAAGCGATCAACATGTAGAGATGCGACTAAAAAAGGAAAAGGTAAGGCTTTTAATAAAATTGATGCATAACGTCGTGTAATGAGGCTTGCTAGAGAAAATGAACTTGAAATCATTAAAAAAAGACTCCACTTGGATCAAGAAAAGGAACAACAGGTGGATGAAATGGATCTAATCAAGATGCAACTTATGCATTTGTCGCTTGAAGAAGAAAACAAGAAACACTTTCTCATATCGAAGTTTTATGGAAACTAATTACAGTTCAATATGTGTTTATTTTCAATCAGTATTTTAATGCATTTGTAAGACATTGTACTTTTGTATTTTATGTATTTCATGTATTTGTAAGATATTTATTAGTTTTGTGTTTCACGTATTTGTAAGATATTGTACTTTTGTATTTTATGTATTTGTAATATATTTTATTGAGTAATTTTGTTGTTCATGTATCATTTTTTCACATGGAGTGTCAGTATAATCTTTCTTGAACATAGAGCTGTCGGTATCATCTTTATTGAACACAAAGCTGTCAATTTCATCTTATCATCTAGAAAATCAAACATTATTTTCATTTCCATGTGTCATCTTTGTATTTGATGCTTGGATTTTATGTAGATAAAATAATTTGACACTATCTTAAGTTTATAATTATAAAAAATATAAATCATTATTTTTCTAATATAAATAGAGTATAATTTGAGCTCAAGTCTTTCATTAGACATGCAAGACCTTAAAGCATCGATTTTTATGGTCTTTGGGATGTTAGGAATCCTTCTGGAGTGTAACATCTTGATGTTGAGGTATTCCATTTTTAACCCTATGAATGAGAGTTATTGCATTTTAGTCCCTATGTGAGAGAATGGTTGCAAAATGGCCCATAGTGGAATTTTTGTAATTTCCGGCGGAGCACACGTACGTTGGGTGTACGTGTCAAATCCTCAAACCCTAATATTTAGGGTTTGGACCCTATTTAAGCATCCTTGTGTACCAAGTCATCTTCCTTTCATCAGCCTACGGCCCCAACTTCGACCTTTGCAAATCCTAATCTATTTGAGAGCATTTTTGAGCTTGGTGTGTGTGTTTTGGTGAACTTGAAGGAGGAGAAAGAAGAGGAGATCATTCTAGAAGTGTGGAGCACCTTGGATCCGAGAAACACATCATCTTTGGACACTATTTGAAGGTAAAAAGATATGAACTTGATGAAGCTGTGCTTAGATCTAGTTTAGCCATGAAATCTGTGTTCTTTTGGTCCTATTAGTTTGGTATTTTGAGTATGGGGTACTCTAATCCATCTAAGTTGTCCTTTCAGATGTTTTGGAGTGTCTAGAAGCATAAAAATGTGGTATTGATCATTGTTTCCTTTCCATGCATGAGTTTGGATGTCTTAATGGAATAAGAAGCTAGGGTTTTAGCCTTTGGGCACTTTCTAGCCATGCAATACCATAAAGTTAGAAACTTTACGGTTAAGGACATGAGTTGAAGTCTAAATCTGGAATATGGGCAAAAGAGCTTAAGGATTAAGCTCTTAATAAGAAGGAAAGGAGGTCAGGTGTATACGTTGGGCGTACCACATGGTACGTTGCACGTACGCAGTCAATGCTTCGATTACCTGGTTAAGCCTGAGTACGCCCCACGTACAAATGAGTACGCCCAACATACTCAGCTGAGTTGACTCGACTGATTTTGTTGACTTTTAACTTTGACCATGGTTTGACCAATTTTGGCCTAAGGGTATTTTGGGTATTTTGAGTTGTATTTGATATTGGCCACTATTTGATGAATAGGTGACGAGTAGAACAGGGTTTCGGAGAAGAGATTTATTCAGCCATTGTTCAGACTGAAGGAAAGTTTTCCTCATTGTACACATGGGTCGAAGGCACCAATGTCGGCCCACTGAATCTTGTATCCTGGTTAGAAGATGTTGATATGTTGTATTGAAATACTAGAATTGAGTCCTGGTATTTAGGATATTGCTATGCGGTACTGGTCTGTAGAACTGCCTATTTGCCTGTTAATTGGTTATATGCTTCTGTTATGTATATGTTGACATGTTATCGTTTGGGGTTGAGGCTTTACTGCTTTGTGTGTGAGTCAACAGACCAAGGGTATTCCAGTCCGATGACTGAGTGGACCCGAGGGTATTCCAATCTGATGACTGAGCAGACCCATGCATATAGGCATTTGTAACAACCCATTATTTTTTTTTCAAGTCAATAAAAGTCAAACCCTTTAAATAAAAACTCGAATTTTATTGATTTTGTTGATTGAGTTAGGAACATAAGGGTTAAATATAATTTAAATTAAATAAATGATGTTTTTATATGAGTATTTGGAGTAAAAATACACTGAAAAATCAAGATTTTCCCCTTTGGAACCGAGAACCCTCGGACCGAAAACCCTTTTCGGTCGAGAACCCTCGGACCGCAAACCGTCGGACCGAAAACGTCTTTCCAGCCGAAAACTCAACCGTTATATAGATTTTTCCCCGAAAAATAAGTCATTTTCTCACTTTTTCACTCGAAAACACTCCCATTTTGCTCTCAAATATCATACAAGAACCTTCCAATCTTCAAGATAAATCCTTCAAATCTTCATAATTTTCACCAAGAACAATCTTCAAATCTTCAAGCTGACCGAAAACACTTCGACCGAGAACTCGTTTACGACCGAAAACACCATAAGACCGAGAACCAGGTTCTCGATTGAGGGTTTTAAGACCGAAATCAAGGATTTCGGTGAAGGCTAGACCGAAAACCCCTCTCAACACATCAAATAATTCTCGGTAATTATTCCTTACACAAAATAAGTGTTGTTTAACACTTTAATTAATTATTAATTTAAATACGATTATGTACTTAAATATTATTAGGATACCGTTATTTCCACATACGCTAGCCCGAGGATCATCTCTACAATTCCACTATTCAGACTCGAACACACTAGAGGTGAGTTCATACCCCTATGCTTTCATTATTTTTCCATGTTTTTAGGAGGAGAGGGGAATACAAGTACAACACAAGGAATATTTGTGTTAACATCCAAATGATTTTAATTAATTTTCAACGTTTCCAGTAATATCAAACTGTAACAAGCTTTCCTAAATTAGTGCAACAGTTTCAATTATTGATTTTACCAAAACGTATCTATATATTTATATATGCCCTATTGATATATGAATATAAAACTTCAAACCTTTGTAACATGTTGAGCAAAGGAGAATTTTTCAGAAATATTTTCATTGCAAACGGAACACACTTATAAACTATAGTAGTCATAGTTTATGGAACATCCTTACTATTCTACTAATTCAAGAAACGATACCAGAACATACTTATAAACTATAATAGTTATAGTTTATGGAACACTTACATTATCGTTACAAAATACTAAATACAGAGATACAACACAAACGAACATATAAACTATAATTGGTACAATTTATGGAACATAAGTACTATTTATGTCACACCCCGAAACCGAAGGCGGAAACGTTCTGGGGCGGAGGACGTCATGCGTAGTATCACAACAGTTGTATCATAGTAAGCAGAGTAAACACAACCATTACATTATAATAAGAATATTTACATTGTTCAAAAACATGGTTTATACATATCAGTATATATAACAAAGGTAAAAGATGTGACTTCAGGATGTTCCATCTTCTCCAAAAGTTGGCAAAAGTACCTGCCTATTGATGCCCTGAGAATACAAGCAGTTTTAAAATATCAGCATAAAGCTGGTGAGTTCATAAGCAGTTAATTCTGGTGAAAGAAATGTTTCCTTGATTCTTTGAAAAGTTGTTTCCCAAGAAAATCCCATATTTTCTTATGAAAG